TTTGACTCAAAATAAGTGACTGCCTAAAAGTACCATTACTGTTGTTCAAATTTCAGTTCACTCAGCAAGTATATTCATGTACCCCAAGAGGAAAATATCGTACTTCTAAATATTGTTTATTTCGAAAAACGGTACTCCTGAAGGGACTACTTTGTTTGCTCTCGTACCTCATTTGCATATGGGTTGTGGAAATACCGATTTTGATTTCAGGGACAAATCAAAATAAACTGCAGTACATATGTAATAATACCCACAATCAGTCTTAACAAGAAACTTATTATTTTCGGAAATACCTTTGAATTTGAAGGTATTATGCAATTTACCACCGACTGTTTGTTAAAATTAAAACAAAGAACACAACTCACAGCACTTCTTTACTCTTAGCGGCAATTGCTTCAGTTACCCTGCTATGTAGCCGCTCATCGGGCACATTGTACAGCATAGCCCAGTATGCAGCAGCATCTATGTCATTGTACGACACAATATGATCCACTAACTGCTCTTGTAACCATGGGTTACCACTCACTGCATTCTCAACCAGTTCATTCCAACTATCAGAAACCATTGATTTCTGTAAAAGATGAAAATACAGTTTGTTTGTTTTTACTGAAGAACTTTTCAAAATAATTGACAATTCAATAACTGGGTTGTATAGAAAAAAAACATCCCAACAATTGTGATATATTTATGAAGTAAAATTATTCAAGAAAAGTTCAATATTTGAGAAAAAAATGAACTTCCATGCTAATATTGTCATGTGATATCTACAACAAAACTTTAAATCAATGTCACACCCATGTGCATGTCAGAAAGTAAAAGCACATAAAATTAAGGTTTTATCAACATTTGGTTTGATATGAAAATACGTTCTATCATCAACTTAGCAAGCCATAACGAGTGATCCATCAGTTTAATTTTTAAAAATGTATTAACATTATCATAATTTTTTTCTCTTATTTAATCGCATGTTAACACTGTGAAAAACAATCACAGGTAACAGAACATGCTTTAAATCGTCTTGATCGATCTTAAGGGGCTTCCCATTTAGTTTGAGGGGGGCTGCTGCTGCAGAAATTTGTTTGTTTTTTTGCAAAGATTTCATTAACTTATGCCAGATTTTATTAAATTTTTTATTCCCATCTTCTTTTACATTATGAAGTTTTTTCCCACCCCCTGTGGTACATGCAGAAGGGAGATAGTAACCTTGTCACAGCATTTACTACAAATATTAATTTAGAAAAAACATGTTTCTTCACCTCTATGTACTTTTTATAAAGTAGAAACTTAATCCCGCTCATATTCTTAACATTAGTGACGTTGGGACAGAGACTTCCATCCAGCTTGTACAACTTCACAAGTCTCATTACAAGTTTACAAAGATGGCGTGGTCGCAACTTGTCTTTACGCAGTAATGGAACACGACAGTTTCTGTGATAATAGAAACAAAAATAGACTAAGTTATTATTTCATTGATGCATGCTACCAATTCATTAGGTAGGGTGCTTTGGATGACATACTGTAAATTGCTTTTTGTGACAACATTTTGTAGCAGTGGAAATGTCTTTGGTTTCTTTTACGTACGAAACAGATTGTCGGTGACGTTCATGAAATTTTGTCTTTACAAATGCTACAGTGAAAATTATACAATGCCAGTATTTATTTTACTGGCTCTAGTTGCTGCACTAGTCTTTCATGGATTCACTGTTGAAACGTAACAGCCCTTTCCAGTTGGTCAACAAAGTTCACACCTTTTATGAATATTTTATAAATATAAACTTTTATAAATTCAAAATGGCTGTTGGCATTCCAATTGTTCAACTCAGCGCTGGTGTTGTGAGATCATAGCGAGCATAAATAGATATGTTAATTCAACATTGCCCAATCAGAAAACATTTTAATTTGAATAAGCAGGTGGTCGCAGAAACTACGTCACATTAATCTTATGATTGAGACTTCTTATTTAAAGCGTTGTTTCTTGTCAATTTTTTTTTTAAATACAACAGCAAGTCTTAATTTTAAGTTGATTTGTCAGCAGAAAAAAAAGTGTCACCAAAGTGGAATTAGAGATGAATAGTCAAATCATGAAGTGCAATCTCTAGCAACCAAGAACGGAAAAATTGCTCTAAGTCGAATGTACGCCTAACCATAATTAGAATGAAGCTATTGTATAATACTGAGTCTCTCACACACAGTATATTTTCAAAAATATTGTTGAAGTAATATATTGATGACTTTTCAATATTTATATTGTCTTTACATCGCACAGATCCCTTGCGCAGAATATTAAGGGGGAACTAAATAAAGCCTATTTTGGTGTTTGTATTTATCAAGTTATGTATATTGATTATAAATTTGAAAAAAAAAAATTAAAAAAAAATGATTATCTTCAGAGTTATGATGATTTAAATATGAGAAACCATAATCCTGCGAAGGACTTCCGTTTGCGCCATCTTGCCATAAAAAAACGCCTTCATGAGGTATAAACAGGTAAGGTAACAAAGCATGATGACGAAATAGTATCTGATTAAATATAAGCAAACTTAGGGAGCCATAGTTGGCTGGACTGGTGAATTGACTTCTAGTCTAGGTTGTTTTGACTTTTACGTTAATGTTATTTACAAGCATATCAACATACAAACATAATGGATGTGCAATTGATCGAGAC